GCCTTCCATACATCGGCGTGAAACTGGCCATGTCTACCTTGGTGCCCATAGCACGTACAGGCCGCATATAGATCTTCCTGTTGTATGTTCTATACACGCTAGATCTATGTCTGTACGTGAAGAGCCTCGGCTCTTTATGGCACCACCAAGGTAGTTCTTGGTCGCGCGAGCAACTATTAGCTGGTAAGCAAAAAAAAAAAATTTTCATTTCAATCAATTTATTTCTGCTTGTTTCGTTTTAGTTCCATTCAACACTTCAATTCAATCCAATTCAATTCAATTCAAATGTAAGTATAATTATATTTTCATTCTTATTTTATTTTTATTGTATTTTTTTTTTGATTTTTCGAATAAACTTTATTTAAATAATTCAAATCTTTTTCTTTTCACTTTACTTATCAATATTTTCACTTCAACAATAAATATTTTTATGTTAACAATAAATTATTTCAAAATAACTCAAATTTTATTTTACATTCAAATAATACAAATTTTCATTTAAATAACACAAATTTTATTTCATTTGAATAATAAATATTATACGAAAAGAACAAATTAATTTGCGTTTGAGGAATAAAATATTTTCAAAGTAATACAAATTTTATTTGATTTCACTTATAAATAAATAAATGTTACTACTAAATTATTTAATTTTACTAAAAATATCTTTTCATTTTACTACTAAATTATTTTCATTTTACCAATAAATTATTTTCCAAATAATACAAATTTTCTTTTTCATTTAAATAATACAAATTTTCTTTTCAGGAATAAAATATTTTCGAAGTAACAAATTAATTTTCATGTCAAGAATAAATATTTTGCGAAAGAAAACAAATTCTTTTATTTAATTCATTTCTTTTCATTTAACAAATAAATAAAAGAAGAAGAGAACAAACACATGATGTAATCTTATATTTTAGCTTTTTTCTTTTCGTTAAAGTGAAAGAGTAAAAGAGAGTTCTTTTTTGTATTCATTCATTTCAGGATGTGGAGAAAGAAACGAACAAAGAGAAAACAATTCAGCAGTCTTTTTTGATAGAAAATCGTTGAACACGATGATTACCATAATCAGCGACATAGAGATTACCATGTCGATCGAAAGACAAACCATAGGGGCTACTGAACTGATTTGCTCCTTTTCCTTCGCCATTTCCACCCACAATTACAGTGCCTTCTTTCTTGCCACTTTGAGTCCAACGCATTACACGATGATTCCAGAAGTCTGCTACATAGAGTGTACCCAACGTATCAACAGAGAGTCCGAGAGGACCATTTAATTGTGTCAAAGAACTCCCTGCGCTTTGTCCTCCAGCGACCACAATACCTTCTTTTGCACCTTTATTCCATTTCATTACACGATTATTGGAAAAGTCTGATACGTAGACATTTTGATCTCGATCGACAAAGAGATATGTTGGATAGTAGAGTTGATTGAGCCCAGCACCTTGTCCATTACCACCAGCTACGAGAGTGCCAATGTTCTCACCAAATTTATATCGTCTTACTTCATGTTTTCCGTGGATAGAGACGTAGAGATATCTCTGCTCATCCATTGCTAATCCATAACAATTGATGTTGTCGATGAGTATTTCACCTTGTGTTGTACCACTACGACGAGACCATCGTACAACTCGTAGATTCTTTCCATCACAAATAATGAGACTATCCGTCTCTTTGTCAATTAATACATCAGTTGGAACATTCAATTGATTTAATCCATTTCCTTGGCCGTTGCCACCAGCAACAACTTGTCCATTCGTTGTATCACCGTTCTTCCATTGCATGATACGATGATTCCCGTAGTCAGCAATAACCACTGTTTGATCATCATCAACGAAGAGACCAAGAGGCCAGTTGAGTTGATTAGTGGCATCCCCTCCCCCGTGACCTCCAGCAACAGTCACACCGTTCTGCTTCCATGTAGCATTAGCAGGAATATTAACTAGAAGAGAAAACGTATAAGAATAAAAGGAGATCTTTCTCTCTCTCGAAAGTATCGAGTAAAATTCTTTGAATAGATCATTATTTTTTGCTAGAAATTCCTCAGAATAATCTATATATACTGAAAGATTATTCTATAGAAACAAGAATATAGAGTTCTCTCTAATGCTCTTTTTTCTTGGCATCAAAATAGTTCTATATTTTCTATGAACATATATGAGCTTATCATATGCGTACGTTGCTGTATTATTTTCCTATCTTGAGGATGTCAATTTACAGTTGATTTTAATTTAACTTCGTGAAAAGTTAATATTTGTTCATAATAGTCAAAAAATTTCTCTACAGATTATGCAGAGTCCGTCACCTTTCTTCTTCAAAAACATCGGGATGCTCATAACTATATATATATTTAATAACAAAATTCGTAGAAGAATGACTATATAGTTTTATCAAATATGTTTGACTTTAAATAGTAGCAATCAAGTCAAGAACTATGTTTATCTACTCGGTTTCAAAATTTAGTTAAATTTAAATGTGACACCCCTATTTCCTATGATCAAAAAATATAGTTTTGGCTAGAATCTTTTTCGTTTTCTCTTAAATCTAAGTAATTAGAACATTTTTGTGTCATTAGTTTACCGTTTCACATATACAGTAAAACCTCTCTATTGTGAACACCGTCGGGACTATCAAAAAGTATTCATATTAGCGGGTTGATCACTATGGAGGGGTTTTATGCAAAAATAGAGATTTTTCGAATTTTATAACATGTATTAGTGCTATTCTATATAGTGATTAATTGCAGCTTATTGAAAGTAAATCTGTTTCATTCTCATATAATATCAGTAAAATAAATTTATGTCCTAGGATTTGCAGTAGGTTCAATAGGTAAACATTTGAAATAATCCAATATAGATCTCTGCTTTGATAAATTTGAATCGAGGAATGCGTCAGTGAGCTTCGACTGTAGTTGAATAATGAAGTAGTGCAGTTCTGGTGTCTATCATTGAGTTCTCGATGGGATACACCGAGTTCTTTTTCTTTGATTAAATTCATTTTCTTTTCTAAGCATAACTCTCGACGAGATGCCATATTTAACAAAGAACGATCACCATACAAAGACAATAGATAACATTCAATTCTTCTTTCTCTTCACCTATTCAATTGATTCTCTCCTTATCGTTCTTCTCTCTTTGTAAAAAATCATAGAACGAACCAATCCAATGCATAACGCTGCTCATATGTAGATATCACTGTTTACAGATGTTCACATTGTAGGGGGTATTTTATATGGTAGGGACTGAAAAAAAGTCTTCACATTCAGAATAGCGTGATGATCACTAAGGAGGGGGTCGAAACCAGCAAAATTCGCTCGGTCGGACCAGAAGGTGTTCAGTATAGCAGGTTGATCACTTTGAAGGGGTGTTCACTAAGAGAGGTTTTACTGTATTCAGAAAAACACACATCCCATTTTTGGTATAGGCATGCACATCCTTCCTTATTCACAGATTTGCGTTTTGCTTTTTATAGAATTCCCTTTTGTTCATGAGAATGATAGTTAGAGTACATAGGCGGCGGAACGATTTCAATCTAGGGTAGGCTCAATTTTCCAGCGAAATGATGTCAGGAAGATAGTGAGAAAATGGCGCTCATCATATTTTTTCAATGCTAGACGCCATACGGCTTCTTGCTAGATTTTGATTCTGTATAAGTGGGATAACTTTAGAGTGCTTTATTTTTTTGAGATAAAACAAGAAATAACGAAGCATCACAGAACAACTACTTAAAAAATAAAACGAATCTAAAATATAATGAAACCACACAGGACCAAAAAATGTTTTTCTACTTTCAGTCTTTGAAATAAAATCAGAACAGACGCTCTTTAAATCAAGTAAATCGAATTTATCTTTATGAATGTGAGGAATAATAACGTGATTTAAATGTTGTTGACTCATTGTGCAGCGTAAATACGCTTTTATTCTATTAAGAACACTGAGCGATCTTTCGGCAGTGGCTGTTGTTACAGGTACTGTCAAATATAATGTTGTGTAATAATGCGTCATCTGTCATGACAACAAAAACTGAACTATAAGAAGATACGTTTACATGTAATAGAGCCTACTCAAGCGTTTAATTCTTATAGTTTGAGCCTACCCAAGTCTACCCACGCCTAATGGCTCCGCCGCCTATGTTAGAGTAGTAAGCGAGGGCACTTAAATATTACAACAGTTGTCGAGGAATTACCTGGAGATTTCACACCAAATCAGAATGTTCGCGCAAAATTATCAAGATGCCCTCGGAGAGATTATAACATTAGTTGATCACATAAGCTCATACCAATCACCAAAGTAATCTATATATGGGTGTATAATTGTGGATAGATATATGCATAGACATGGGAGTGGTCACTCGTTTTATAACGCGTACTTTCCCTTTTTTTCAACAGGTAGGGAAATAGAAAATGAAATCGAGAAAGAGAAAAGAGCGAGTATATAAAAGGACGAGAAACTGGTGGAATAGGTGGGCATTTTTTAGTTAGGGTAGCAACAAGAAGGATAATACTTAGAAGATTAGAAACAGTAGTTACGTAGCTAGACATATCAAACGAAAGATAGGGATCATTACCTTAGAACTGTTGTATCACAATCATTCTTTTTATAATTTACGTCTCAACGCTCAATTTATCTCATTTATACCAGTTTATGGTTCATTGTGTGTATTCATCTTATTATTCAAATAAACATCAGTGAATTCGTAACGTTATATTTTAACTCATTGATTTATCCACAAATAAGTACCGACCAAAAAGAAATATTTCGTTACAATTTCCTATTTAGAAAATCGCACACATTTCTTACAATCTAGAATATGTTTGTGTGTCAAGAAGTACGTCCCTCGTAAAGGACGAGATTAGATAGGAGTTATATGAACCACTGGACGTCCACTCATAAGTCATAGAACTAATGGACATCCTTGTATATGACGACACATAATCACCCTCAAGAACAATACGTAATCGTTCCCTGTATCCTTTTCCTTCTCTATATCTTTTTGTCTCTATGTATCTTTTCTCTCTCTCTCTAGTATATAAACTCGCGTTATATGTGAAATAGACAGCAGTATAAGAAGAGTAATATTAGATCAGTAGAAATGCCGTTGAGT